ATAATTAAAATAACAAACTGTTAATGCGAGAGGCCTATATTATGTCATAAAAGGCTTAAATGGAATATGATCCCGATTTTTAATTTATATTGTATTTATTTATTTATTTATTTATTAAGTTCACCATTGTTTATACACTATACAAAAATTACCATTATATAAAGTAACTGAAGAGAATTGTCATAGTTAATAAAATCGTAGCTGGACTGTGACGTTCTGAGTATAATAGAATTACTAATCTATTATATCATTTTAGTACAAATCAATGAACCACTTTGGTTAATAAACTAGACGATATCAATTTATAGCGATATAGTTTTTTTTAAAATTCAAACAAACTAGATCTTCAAAAAAGACCATCATGTCTAACGTCTTGTCGGTCAGACTAGAGGACATTGTTTTATTGTCTCTCATTCAGTCTATTTTGATTGAATGCCCTCGATGTTCACAATAAAGTTATAATTGATTATTATAAGCGAAATAACAGATTACTAGTTTTCAAAATAATACATATATCAGTAAATTTACCATAAAACTATGTTCCCGGAGGTATTATTTTTTCTCCCCTTTTTAAACAGGCTATTGATATCAGTTTATATACCAGAAATTGCATCAGGATTGAAAACTGGGAAAAATAAGAAAATGAATTTGGTCAAGTCAGTCTCATTTAAGACTCATTTCAAATAATTGAGACTATCCTCAACGATGAATTTCTCCGTATTTATAGTATATATTTGCGATTTACAACACTTTATATTTTTTGCTTGACATTTTATTATTCTGTTTATTTTAAATTAAGTTTATTTTAGTGCGTGTTAGCTTTTATTTACTTAGAAAAACATTGATATTTATGTTAAGTGCGAGTATTTATAAAAGAGCTATGGCGGGTTGCTATGCCTATTTCCCTCAAGTGTGAGAGGTGAACTGTTATGACGCGCCGACCTCAGGTATTTTTATACAGGTAGCTCTATCGGAAACAACAGCTGAATTCAAGGCCATGGCTATTGACACATGCGTTTCACGATACAGACTCAACAAAATGCTTATTTTGCGTTATTTCTATGAATTTAAAACAAATAATATGATGTTTGTAACACAAGATCGTACAATCATTACCAACAAGTTTTAAAGGATTTAATTTTCATTACTACTGCCTGCGTCATGCCGTTACCTGCTTTCTTACAAATCACACATCTTGATTTAATAGCCTGTCTTACACGAGTATTGCGATCCTGACTTTACGCTGCCGTCTTCTTGCTATTCAAACAATTGAAACTATCCTCAACGATGAATTTCACCGTATTTATGGTAATATATTTGCGATTTACAACACTATTTATTTTTTGCTTGACATTTTATTATTCTGACGCAACAATCCCCCCTTTTTTGTATTTCAGCATCATTTGTTTGTGTTTACATATAGATAAAATTACTAGGGCCAAATGAGGGTAAAAACAAATCATAAATATATTTTAGATGATGTCTTATCTACAAAGCGTAGCTGTACTGTACATATGTACAGTGATTTCTTGACATGATTCCTTAGACGATGTATCGATGGGTATGTTATTAAAATATAAATAAAATGTACCATTGATTTGAAAAATATTTTATTACCTAATTAAGGAAAAAGATCACATGCCTAAATATTAAAAAAGGGAACCTAAACGTGGATTCGAACTTGCAACGTTTACTTCGTCTGATCACAAGTTAACTGTGATACACAATCGGCTACATCGGACATAGACGAAGATTGGAATGCAAACTGTTTTAACCCAAGAAACACCTGTCGCAGTTTAAGAAACTCGCTCACCCCTGTTTTTCATTATTTTGGGCACTTTCCGAAAGGAGGACCACTTTTCCGGAATACGATTTGTTTTTGTATATTACATCACGGAATAAAAAAGCTTATTCAAAAGTTGGTCCTCGGATGGGAAAGTGTTGAACGAATTTTTTTTAAGTATGGGAAACCTCATCACTTTTATAAATATAGTGAATATGGCTATATTTGCAGTTTCTTATTAACAATACCTAATATCTCAGCAGTTCAACAATTCATATTCAACTGGTTTTATATCTATTCTATGCGCTTTCGCTGCTAGAAATTATTTACTCATTAATATTTTTTTCCGTTTTCATCAATGCCAACTCAGGGAAATATGGGCAGTTTTCCGCCATAGCTCTTTCAATATCGCTTTAATCTGGTGTCATAGGTGTTTGTAACATATTAAAAATTATAATCAAATTCAAAAAATTGTGTGCTTCATTTTTATTCAAAGTTCACTCCTTTTTACATACATTTCCATTTGAAAATCCTTAAAATTCTGACTACCTATATTTTTTTGTGGCAGAAAGTTTTCTTTACTACAAAGCAATATAACTACAAAATTTGAAGAAATTCTACTGAGAAATGGTGACACAATCATATTACCTTAACGTAGAACGAATCGATAGTCGCTTTGTTCAAACTAGTTTCCCTCTTACTTTGTTTGTGACTAGGATCATTGGATTAGCGATTAATGCTCATTTGAATAAAATTACTGGAATGCTTGCTTATTTTGATTTAACGACTCTAATTGTAGCATGGCTGACATATGTAGTTTGAAATGTATGTAAGCAAATTTCATGGAATTATTTCGGCAAAAATGATCTCGATATTTTATTGGTGTCTGTGTTTAAAGTAATGAAAAAAAAACTTTTTATTTTTGTTTTATTTTATATATCTGTCATGCTAGAGAGCGTTATTTTCTGTTGTGTATGTTTTGTAATTAAACAACTTAAGCACCATATTTTGAGTTCGATCATTTGCTTTCGTCAAGTTTAGAGTATAAGTGTGACGCCGTGTCTACTTTAGTGTTTTTTCCTTGGTGTACAGGAGTTTAACGAAGTCTCTTGTGGGCCTTCATTGCTATGGCTAACCATGATCACAGTATATCCTGGTGGTTTCAGATAATTCTTCTATTTATGATATGCCCACCCGACTTTTCATTTTGTTGGTTTCTTTAATTGTCTTATTCTTGTTTCCCCCTTTTTTTTGACACTGTTTGTACCCTTTGTCTTCCCATTCCGGATATCCACAAGTTTTATTGCACCAGCAATGTGATTCTGTCCTTGCATTTTGTCCTTTGGTAGCAGAGTACAGTAAAAATGGCCTGATCCTAAAAATAATGGGCATGTCCGACATAAACATGGATAGTGGATTCAACCTGCACAACACAGCTACGTATATCAACATATCTATAAACTACATTGTGATTACTTTTGTTTTAGAAGACTGTTTTTTTTCAAAAACACCCAAAAATGCAATAATACGTTATTTTTAACCAGAAATGTGACCCCCGCAAGTAGTAATATTTTTTTTAAACCTGTCTGAAAATAAATATCGCCTACTCGGTAAAAGAATACTCACGTTTTAGCATAGGTTCTTCCGGTGGTTACACATGTGCTGAGTACAAAAAGGGCCACATGAAAAGCTAGCTTTTGTGTAGACACAGATTTTTAAATGCCAAAAACTGTAGTCTCAAATCAAATTCCTTTTTTTTTTAAATCATGAAGCTCACATAGTCCACTTCATCATATATGTGCCAATTTTAGTGGTGGTTCTTTTCAAACATTTTGATACGTGTAATATTGCAGGGGTTTTTCACTGTATGAAAATTATCACCCATGTCCACCGTACGGTACTGTACATTGCTACCTTTCTGAAAATTGCATAACATCTGTTGAGCAACGTGCGTGCAATGCCCAATTTCTGGCGCAAAGGTGTCGCGATTATAAGTTCAGATATTGGTTAGTACGGGTCATTTTTCAGTTGACGATACCTTCACAGTTCTGTCATCTTTCGTTACCAATAAATGTCAAGAAAGGGCATCGTGCCGTTGGTTTCTTCCTCACTTGTGACTTTAGTGCTGTTTCTGCCATCTATGGTGGCACCATTGTTGTAAGCACAACTTCCAACAAGATTTACTGAAAAAGAAATATATTCTCCCGCCGGAATCTGCCTAATGCTGAGCGATATGTTCTTAAGTTCATCGTCAGTGGATGGGTTGGTAAAAGGGACATATAGCTTCATATGAAGGCATTTCTTCATCTTCCAGAATGATGATCGTTGATATAGTTTTCCCTACAATTTACCCACTAGCGGGCCAAATATGTCTGATGAGACCTGGACACATTGTTAACAATGCACCCAATTTAGTCCGCAATAGGTCTTACTGGATTCCCCTTTTTGTATATCTTGGGTGTGCATGGCATTTAAGGGGTGTTTTCTACAGTGGTATACACGTATCTGTATTGGAGTTCGTTAATCTTAGTAGTTTTAATTGAAATATGAAAGCTATGAGGTGCCATTTAAACTTTTAAGTAGTGTTGGTCAGAAGTTGTTCATATGGATTGTCCTATATCGGTGTCTATGAAGACTGTTGGCTTGTAATTATCAGCTATCGTCATATTGCTTGTTTGGTTATTTTGTGGATTAGTTAAGCCCCCGTCATTTGGGATATTGTGAACGTTTTTTTTATGTGGTTCATATAATATTTCATATAAACAATCTTTCATCGGTAAATTCTTTCAACCGCTTATTATTTTAAACTGCTTTCTCGCATTAGAAATTAATAACAAAATATTCTAAAAGTAGGAAAAAGAAATAAAAAATCTGATTTTATTGAACATATATCTGTATTTACATTGGTGATTTGGATAGATTTTTGACGGATTAGGACTCTAATATCCTCTTTGTAATCCTCTTTATATTCCTGTCTTCCTCATTGGACTCTTCATGGTTACATATAACGATTAGCAAGGTGTACACTATAGAGAAGCGCTGGTTAGTTTTGTTTTCATTTCGTCGCTAAGAATACAGATCAATAATGGACACATACATGTCGATGTAGTTACACCACAGGTAATATCATATAATATGTTATAGGTGCATTGACAAACGAGGCTAGTACCTGTGGTTACACCGTCATTATAGCGACGAATGCGTTTCTGTTTGACATGTAAATAGATGGTCATTTTATGAAATAGGTTCTTGGTAAGTATTTGGTTATCGTTAATTTAAGAAAAGTTTGACTCTCGAACATAACAATGAAGTTTAAGGTTACTGTGGGGTAGATTTATAACTATCATAATGACATATGATTTGTATATTGATGATTGAATACCTATAAATGGACCAGGAATTAAAAAAGTGACTTTATCAAAATATTATTCTGCAAGGTAATAGTATGGCGTCTGCTTAATTGACCAATGAATATCATATACATATTCATGTACATTGTATATGTCACTGTTATTGATGAAATATGACTTCCGGAGTTCTCGTGGCAAGAAAATTACTTCCGCAATGCTTAATATGTTTTATGATTCGTTACTATTAATGTAACAAAGACCGTGAAACTGTTCTGTGAGGGCGCTTTTCCTATGTGGGTGGGTGGGTTGGAAGGTGGTTAGTTTCGGGAACCTTTCATGGTACCAGTACACAGTATTCATGTGTCCACAGTTATCTCAAATCATAAATAAACAAACATGTTCAGTAACAAATTTACATATATATGGACTATATTTCATGTAGTGCTTTATAAGTTCTGAAGTATTTAAGTGCATCTCAGCAATTGTTTTTGATGATGTGTATCAAATCCCGGGGAAAGAGACATTAATTACAGATAAAAATGTGCAAATGTCTCTTAGGAATTCAAATTGTGTAGTTCAATTTTTACAGGGACGAAGCAGTATGCACTTGTATAATGACTACAAGCTCTAAGGATCACTTTACCATTATTTCTACGTTTTAAGAAACTGAACCAGATAGAGTGTTGTACAATTCTACCCATATAATACTGGATCCTTATACCTACGTTTTTTTGTAGGATATGCTTTACCTACAATGGGGCGCAGGTAAGGAAGTAATATCAAGAGTGTAGACATTATTGAGGTTTTCACTTTTTTTTAAGGGATAACTTCGAAAATTTGCACCTTGTTATTCCGTCTTTGCGTATTACAGAGTTATCTTCTCTTGTGAGCGGGTATTGATTGTTACGTCATTGGTTTGTGTGATAAAATTACGTCGTTTTCTCAAAGATTGATGACGTACCTCTCACAGACAATGACATAACAATCAATACCTGCTCACAAGAGAAGATAACTCTGCAATACGCAAAGAGGGAATAGCATTATCTGTAACAATTACTTCCTTGTCCCATAAAAAAAGAATGTATTAAGCCTTGATATTATTTTCTGGATGAAATGTTGGGTATTTTATATACACGTATGTAATCACATAATTTATTAGTGTGCTAAATGAATTGCATCCTGAGCTATCTATCTGATCCCTACGCATCAGATAGGAGTAATGATATCTTCAATCGTTATTTGAGCAAAATTGATTTGTTATGAACAAAGTACATTTTTAGGTTGTAGTATTTCTGTTGATTCAACTGAAAAGGAATTGAATACATTCAATATTTCATCATTTTTGTTAACAATAAGACCATAGCAGTTAAAATCAGTTTATTTGCTACTTCCAGCAACCTTACACATTTTCTCTAAAAAAGAAAAATTGAATGTAACACTATGAAAAGCGAAGTAACCCTTTAGAAACATGATACACTCCGTTGTTTGAACGAATGCTACGGCCTGATAAAAGTTAACAAATATGTTTTATTGTCCATGAAAAATGTCTTATCAACTAACATCTTCATAAATAATAGCTTATAGTTTGCACCGTCAAAACCAAACAATTGATTGATAATTAGGTCAATTGGGAGTCATCATATCAACGTAACAACTAAAACACGATTTTGCTATTGAGAAATACATTAAAGAAAGACACCTTTACCCGAAGAATGTGATAGATCTAGAATGTCATGCAATCTTATGTTATGAATATATACATGTATTGATTGGCATGATGGTGAAGGAAAATATATACATGTTGAATTTCCGTAGCACATGATCATACTTATTCAAGAGTCTTATTTTTTTGTAAATCTCTTGTTTCTATTATTTTGAGCTACCTTTTATCGATTTTGAGATAGAAACGCCTCGGTATTCTCTTTTTGTATATATCGTTTAATAGAGGCACTCATCATGGACTTGTGTTCGACGTTTAGGTATGGATGACGCCGAGCGACGCATCCTCAGGAAACACCACACCAAGTTACTCGAAACACTGGATACCAAGTTCATGATTCCATTTTTGTTTGAAAACGGAATCGTTTATGAGGAAAATTATCTTGATGATGTACCATGCCGACCAGAACGTGTCAAGAAAATGCTCTTGTTTCTGAAGGACTGGTGCCCCTTTGAAATGTTTCTTGAATGTCTTCGGCACGAGGATTGCTATTCTTTCATAGCTGATGCCCTAGAAAAAGATGGGCAAAATGATTTTGTTCACATGCAAAGAAAGGTGAACATCTTCACGGATAGAAGAAAACAGGTGGGAGAATTTCGGCATAAATTGAAACGCTGTTCACTCGAAAATGACTCTGTCACTTTTCTGAAGTATTACGAAAAGGCCATCAGGGACTGGGATAACGTAATATGTAACAGGAGCAAGTACAATCACCAGCAACGACAAAGACTGGCCGACTTCTGTCACGCAGCTTATGATGCTGAAATTGTACGACGACGTGTGTTTTATGAAAATATAAAGTTACAGGGTGACATACTCGACAAAATGCAACTGATGTCTGCCCACACATCATGCCCTATAGCGCCCGATGTTATATTCTTAACCAGATTCTCTTCTGCGCTAGTAATGGCAGGTGGAAGTCTGGAAGATGGTCTTGCTTGCATAGAAGACGCTCAACAAAAGATGGAACTCCTTCCGGCATGTAGAGAGACGGGACTGGTGCTTTACAGCAAGTTTAACTTCCTGTTGATGAAACACGAACGCGACCGCACCAGCATTGACAAGGAAGAACTTTCGAAACTTGGAAACAGTGTAATTTCACACTTCAGTACAGAATCAGACACGATCAGTAACGATTTCAAGAGAATTTTCTGCTGAAGAAAGCACACACTTGCCTAGACATGGGGGTGTTTCTTAATGTCATTGGTGATTATGAGGTCAGCGATGTTCACATAGAAGAGGCAGGGAGACTGCTGATTGAATTACGCCGGCCAGAACTATGGCAAAGGATGGAGTTACGTGCAAAAATGGTGTATACAGCAATCAGATCTCGACTGGCCCAATTGAAGTATCCCGAGAAGCCAGCCGAGGCCATCAAACTTGCTAAAAGGGCGTTACGATTAGCCAAACAAGGACAATTCCTTAAAGAACAGCAAAGTATCAGCTACAATTTAAACTCGCTGTCTGAGAGCACACTGCAAAAGCAACGATTAAGAAAAGCAATACTAGTGTAATATTAGTAAGACAACTATGTTGTTGTTATCCTGCTGGTGTGTTTGTTTATTGTTCAAATTGTAAACCGATATGGTATTGAACACTGACGTATTACATATACCTTTAACTTAATTATGCTGATAGTTTTCCTCTCGAATAGTTAAAAAGCCTGATGGATGACGCGAATTGTTATTTATTACGCCTTCTCCGTTAATTATATCATCCGACCATTCCATCTTAAAGACGAAATAGAGAGCGTAATGTTTTCTCCTCCTATAAACGAGGAAATGTTTGTGTGTAGAAAGGTTGGCGTTGTGATTTTAAACTGATAACGGAGTGGAAATATTTACGTTGACAAAGGTTCACCAAATCTATATATCTTATAAACAAGTATTTATAATCTATATCATCTAAAAAAAAAAAAACAACAACAACATTATCACATTTTTAGATATTTTCGGGTTAATTTACTTGACGCGAAAAACGCCAGCATTTGAACACCGTGAAAAATGTCCTCTTTGAACATTTACAATTATATGAGTTGTGAACACGACAATCTAGGGTTCCGGAATAATATTATTGGTGTGTATTCAAAAAAACCATGTGAACAATGAACATAAGACAATCAGTAACGTCTTGAATACACTTTTATATGAAGTCTCCTGTTTATTCCTCTTCTTCGAGATGATCTATATCGTAACTCTGGTCACACATACAGTGGTCAAGCCAGCGGTTCAAAGTACATCATAGACTGTCTTTTGTTTACTATAACCTCTTACCACTGTTGGAGCACCTCAGTATAACAAGGTATTGACCACTCCGTTATTCTCCTTGTAAAGGATGACTATATAAGCATTCATTTTCAATCAATATATATTCCACGTCGAATTGTTGTTGTTGTTTATAAATCGTACTCGAGTTTAACTAGTTTAAACGAGATTTTCAACCTTTAAATTTGAAATAACTGGCTAGCGTTAGATAAAACGATATAATTTGTAAGCAAAGATCGGTACTTTTGGAGCGTCTTTATACCACAATAATGAATAATAATTATAATTAACGCTTGTTTTACAGAATATGATTTAGGTTGCGTACGAATTTAAGGAAAAAATCAATGTTTTACCGGGTCCCTTGCGCCACTCTCCATTCATCTCTGTAAACGACACACGCCATTAAAGAATCTTGCAAGAACTAATGCACAACATTATGACATTGTGATAAAGTTATGATTTCATCTTCTTACATTTTATTTAACAATGTATTATTTTCATCGCTTCAACATAAACATTGTTTTGTTCAAATTATATGTTTGAATATTTTTACGGAAAAAAATGTGTGGCCCAAAAGCCGTGTGTACACCCGCCTTGTGTTTTAGTTTTCTACATCGGAGTATATTTCAGTTTTATGACGTAGATACGTAAAACAGACCGGGAAAATAAAGTATGGAAAATAATTCTTGAACGCACATTTGTTATCTTTCGGTATATCTGTGCGCCAGGGCGGCTCGAAAAATAGACAAAATAAATAAATAATAACTACAATACAACAGAAAGATACTTCGATTTTATCAAACGATTGTAAAACATATACAATAAGTATTTGTAATTGAATTACACACATACATTGTTTCTCTCATATGTACATTTTACATCGTTACCGATTAAGTTAGTAATACATTCACGTAGGTTATTCATCACATGCATTAAGTATATCTCTAACGCTAGTCGACAATGAATATATAGACTTAAGCACCGGGTTATGAAACTTAAACAACATACATGTATACTTGTATGGTTAAATATAGTGGGATTGATAGTCTGTTACTATAAAGCTCTGTACAAAAAACAAAAACAACTTTCCTACATTTACCGCATAACACAAGAAACGTTCAGTGATAGTTGCATGCCTTTGGATCGCTTTGTCTAACTGCCTCTGGGGGACTTTGGTTGGTTCCAGGAGGCATCCAGTGTAACACTGTCGCAATGGGTGATCGACATGTCTACATAATGTGTATATTTATAATTACTGGTCACACTCGGGTCCCAGATAGTCACGAATATGTCAAACAGCCATAGTCGGACAACTTTCACTTGGTGATCTCGTGGTTTCCGTCCAGCACTCTATTTTTTGGATTATTTCTTCATGTCGTTTATGACATTTTATCCTTTTAGCTACTGTTGAATCAAGTGACATCGTATCCTGTAGTGCCTTGTCCGAGGACAAACCCGGGGGTATCGGGTCCTCGGGTCTCTATTCGGGCTGGACATACACTCATATGTGACGACCAATGGTAGAAGAGTTGGCTTTTTTCCTCTCTTAAACTTCGAAGCTCCTCTTTCAGTTTTGTGTTTGAAGATTCCAGTCTCTGTATCCGCTAAAAATAAAAGTTTAAAAAGTTCAAGTAAATGTTTAAATATTTCGATGATGTAATGATTGTAATACGGTGATACCATTTTAAATTATTATTACATTTACAAGTATGTAATACAGAGAATTATAAGTAGTTTTAACAGGCAAAGTGCCAAAGGGGGAGGTTATAAGCCCGTCATGTCGGGATATATTATTTGGCGGACTTGATACGCAACACAATGTATATTACAACGACAAAGTTATAGTTTTTCTTATTTATCAATCATCTAATAATAATTATTATGTAAAAAAAAACAACAGGATCTTAATATAGCACCATATCAATTAAAAAACATATCTAAAGCATTACACAACAAATAGATCAGAAACCACGACATTTAAAGCGGTATTCATATTGAAGTGTAAACAGTTTTGAAATTTTAAAATTTTGCATCAATTTCATGTAAGAGGTAATCTTAGCACTTTAATTTCAAAGACACCTAATATTTGGAATAAATTAAAGTTTACACACGAATAAGAGAAGAGTTTATATTGGCAAATTCATACACAAGACTATACTGGAATAAGATACAGTTGAATTGACATTTTGGTTATTTCACAATATTGATAGCTATGACGTGGTGCTGGACCGGGAGTTACTTACTTTGATGTGCACATCAGCCTCGGCTTTCTGTTTCCGCCGGAACTTCTGGGCTGCGAGTCTATTCTGTTCCCGTCTCCTATCTACCCTCTCAACCTCCTCGTCAGTCAACTATCGGAGACAAATGTTTCAGAAATAGACATTATTTGACGTAACAGGTCAACAGTGACTGATATTGTCTGAATAGTTACACTATGTCTATGTTCGGACATGACAATTCTAACTTTTATCATTATTATTTTTAGGTCGCCACGTTGTTCTGACTATGCGTCAATCATTTACGTCTTAACTTAATGTGTGGCTTTCGGTTTGGTATGTCCTTATATATATGTATGAAATACGAAAATAAAAGAAGACTAACCAAAAGAAAAATAATAAGAAAGAAAACAATCCCCCATAATAAAAAGAAACACTATCAATTATCAATTTTGTTTAATGATAGTTCGATTTTCAGGTGTAATTGATCGAGTGGTAAATAACCTCTGTCAGTGTTGTATAATATCACTTTGTATTTTACGTATTCCTTAAATTATATATATTAGAACTACAGTATATGTGTGTTTATCTTTTTCCAACTACACAGAAACCATTTAATTTCATAGTTGATATTCACAGCAAGGTTTTTTTTATCACACATGGCTCATCATGTGTGAGATATCGATTCACAGTTATTTGCTTACATGGCCAAACAAAACAAAACAATCGAATTATATAAACATATATACATCATCAATAATAATACATAATCATATAATCGTCCATTACCTTGTACGTCTGAGGCTGTTTGAAGCCCACTTGAAGCTCCCTCTTGCCCTCCGATACACGTCTTGACTGTATAGTGTATTTGAGTTCCTCTTTTATAAGGGGGGTAAGATCTCCCGTCTCCAGGGCCAAAAGTGTCGCCGCCACCAAGGTTTCCTCATCTTGCGCGTGGGGAGGGGGCAGTTTGGTGGGAGGGGTGGACGTTGAGGGGAGGGTATATGTACTGGGTGTCGGTGAGCACGTGTCTCTCTGTAGCATGCTGCTTGTTGTGTGACTTCTATTTACGTTTACACGACGTTCACATCAACTATAAATAGAATATATAAATAGACATTGCATGTGAATTGTGAAATACGTACCCGTATGTAAAACTTGACGGTATAGTCCAAGAATTAAATCTTTTTTTTACTTGAATAGTTGTCGAAATCTCATTAGTCAATTACGATAAAAATTGTGTAAGTACAAATAAAAGTCTGAATCACCCTCTATTTTTTTTAACTATTTTTTGAATGTTCGATGTATATATTATATTTATGACAAAATACTTAAACGAAGAAACTTTTTTAAGAACAAGTTATGTAGGGAAAGAAATTTTAAAAATATGCAAAAAAAGTCATTTATTAAAAATTAATACTTGTTTTTGTTAACATCTTTCCAATCGAAATAAAGAATAAATCAGAGTAACATGTACCAGTTGAATTAACTTCTGTGTATGACAGCTCCGTTTGACGAATCCTGTAGCACTAAGCCTTGTGGAGTTGTGAAATACTTAAATAGAGAAAATATTGTGTACTACGTCATACACATGTTTAATTATAGGATATTGCAACACTTGACGAAACGTGTCCCGGCAACTTGTTCAGACATGTTTAAAATGGATCCGCATAATTCATATTTGATGCCTTCCTAAGCATAATCGCTGAACCTAAATCGATTTATGTCTGACCTGGAAATTCTGTCAACTGAAACATTATGATTCTAAATTATAACTATATTTCTCATGTTACGATATTTTTGAAGTGTTTTCGTTAGCGTGTCAATTAATGCATCAGCTAGCTATATATAGTTAAAAATCTAATTAACCTTATTCGGAGGTTACACTGTTTGAATGATAACACACAAGAGGGCTCGAAATGTGTTTTTTACATTCGTAACGTTTCGGGCTTCACCCATGTAGTAAACCAAGGTCTCGTCTGTCAAATTTTAACACAGGGGCTCGTGTCTAAGTTTACAGTAGCCTACGACAGAAAAAAGTATATGGTTGTTTATTTTAGTTTAGTTTATTTCAAAAATACACAGTTATAGGTACATAGTAATCATTCATACAAAGTATAGTCTATGAGATTACCGCATTATCTATTTTCTTATGAACCCGACCGAAATCCAGTTACTTGAATAGCAAGTGCCTGTGAGTGAACTATGGCTTCTCAGCTGGTTCGGAGATCCAGATGTAAACAAACGTTGAAAAGTTTGTTGAGTTTCAGAAGGTAATGTTTCAGTTCTTGGATGATTAAATTAGTATTTTTCAGTTTGTTCAAAAGCAGATGCATCTGTAATAAAGTCTGAATTTGGGGTACACTAAGTACATGCATTCTGAACCGCCTCCTGATTCCCGCGAAACCTCAACCTATAAGTTACTGATGTCATACACATAGCCATTATACGTGTAAGTGACTGAAAACTTAATATTTGAAATAAAAGAATGTTTAAAGTAAATAATTAAGTAACTATATAACGCATACACCAACTAAACTTGATTATAAATCACTCTATAAGACGTATCATGTATCAGATAATCAGTAGTTTATAAGAAAGCATTTAAATAAAAATCAAAACACTCCAGCAAAATATTTGATTTTTTTCAATGTTTTTGGTGCATTCATATGTCCAATTTGTTTATTGATTTCAATTAAGGCACAGGTCATCCTTCCAGATAGTAATATCTCACAACCTGATGTTTTTCAGGACTATTAATGGGTCATTTTATTTTGATTACATGAGAAAAGCTTATGTCAGCTTATGCAGTGGTCACCTTCGTAATGTCATATCGAAATGATTTACTCTATAATCATGATTATGTAAAAGGAGTATAGGAAAACTGCACGTCCAGACTGGAGTTAATGTTCAAACCCCAACTCTAGACGGAAGGTCTACCAATTGAGCTCATCCTGGTCACCAACAATCGACCCAGTCCAGTTCCACTAAAATCATAAGGCCAAAAAAAAAGTTTGTTTCCTGTTACATGTCTGAAAAAATTAGGGTAGGTAAAATATAAGTTATAGGTACTATTTTTTTTTCAAATTTTCAAAGGTTTATCTAGAGTTATCCTGACTGAAACAGTGCTTCCTTGAAAATTGACAGAAAAATGTTAGGGCAGGCACAAAAAAAATAGTAAGTAAGGTAGCTGGAAACAAACAACGTCTTCTATTTAGCCTTATTTTGTCTCCACGTTGGATATCGCAAAACATACGCTAGCAGCTATTTGTGAAACAGAAGAGGAAAAATGCACAACCAGACTGGGTTCGAACCCGGGACCCTCCGAACTCTAGGCAAACGCTCTACTAATTAAACTATCTTTCGGGTCGCCGACGATCGACCAAGTCCAGTTTAATCCGCTACATTCCTCCCTCCTTTTTTCTAAGTCTTAGCCCCCGAAGACACAACTATTTACAACCCCAGTTTGTGTATCCCCTTGTCAAACATACACTAAATGCTTGAAACAAGGGTTGGTGCCACCAATTTTGATACAATTCGGTGTTGTATCATACCAGCATATGTTTGGTATAAAGTACTTGAGTAATTTTGGTTCAAAGGATTCTCATGATTCCAAGAAAAAGCTGGATTTATAAGTTGGTTGATACATTTAGGGAAATAATAATTTCCTGAATACCTTTGTAATATTTTCTTTCTATTTTATCTGAATTTTTTTCTGTGTGAAATCAATCACTTTTAAAAAGAGCGTTCGAAAACAGACACTTTTATAAGAAATATACTTTTTGATGCTAAATAATAACTTGGCTGATATTAATCCAAAATTTTTTGGAAACTCCTTCCAAAATTATGTAGCGGTTTAAAAATGATTACAACCATTTAAACTTGATTTTATGAATCTTCTTAAATTTTCTATCAGGTTCTACAACTCCAGGCAAGAGGGGAGGACGACGTCCAAGCTAAAATGGAGTTACATACACGGACAGTCGGATGTCTCACCAATCGGGATAACTATTGGAAATCTTCTCCAGGAGAGAGTGCAAATGACACCCGATAAAGAAGTTGTTGTTTTTTGCTCCCGAAAGATCCGGAAAACATACGCGCAATTTATTACAGAGGTGCTTATTTTCAGTCTTTGTCTTTTTGTGGTTGATATTTATTTTGCTGGTTAATATTAATTTTATAACCAACCCTGTTTTTAACATAACATAGAGATATACCAGGGGTTTATCATGAGGTTTTGGAAAACAGACCCTGGCCTGGGATGAAATAGGGAATAAAATCATAGACACAATTGTTTTTCCAAAATTTCGATAATCGTAATAAACAATTTGAATACAGGAATTTAAGTTAACTGTTTAAATTTTACAAAACCTATCCTCATGACGACCCGATACTTCTGTCTTTCCTACAAATGCAAACATTTGTACCGTATATATTTGGACTTGCATGATGCTTATCTGACTAACACGAAAGGAATGGGGAGTTCACCCACATACGTATATCCTTCAAATGAAATAAATTTAGTTTAAACTTTCTTTTATTCAAGTATTTCAATCTATCACCTTATCATAATCTGCAAAATATATTCAGGATGGACAGCATATTGTCTCCAATGAAAAATACATACAATAATACAATCAGTGACAATAGTTTAAACAAGGAGAAAGAAAAGGAGATAATTAATGGTGAAGGGTTTTGGTTGTTAATAAATTTGATTTTCTTTCATAGATCATCTAGAGTATACGGTTAATTCAATTGACAGGTTGACAAGCTGGCGGCTGGACTGGTCAGTCTGGGACTGGAAAAGGGGGACCGTGTGGGGATCTGGGGCCCTAACAGCTACGAGTGGATTCTCACCCAGTATGCTACAGCTAGAGCTGGCCTCATCCTGGTGAGAATGGTGTCAAGCTGATATCTATTGTACAATGTTTAATATTCTATATGATATGTTTACTCCTCTAGGTAATAGGGGTTTATAAACAAAATCTCGGCCGATATTCAGATATTTCTGAAGACGATCCAGTGTTGTTTGAGTCTGTCTTTTAGGTACTAGGTATATTAAAAGCAACATTCTTTACAAATTAAAACACAGGTCCACTGGGTATGTATCACATTGGATCTTGCATAATCACTCTGACTGTAGTTTTGATACAGACATAAAAATGTACAATACGAACCTTGTAAGTCTTGACATTTCTGAAATTGAAAACCATCAGTTTTTCAAAAATGTGTTTTTTTTCATGTCATTTAGTTTCTGAAAATCATATTGTCAAACACATATATAAATTAATATTTAACAGCAAATACATGTACTTTTTATTGTGAATTTGTTCAATGCAGACTTAACTAATTGCAAGTACATGTATTTGAAATCGCAACTCATAATAACTGATACATCATCAATGTTTAAAGTGCTATATAAATAACTCATGAAACATTAGAAAAAAGTCGGTGTTTAAGAATAAATTTGAAACCATTTTTACAAGTTTTGTAAATATTAAACAAGAAGATAAAGCAAGAAAATGTATCAGAATTTAAAACAGTGTAGAGTATTTGTGGGTGAAGTATATTTGATCAATATTCTATACCAAATCCTTATTATCCCTTTCACCACTGTTTACCAAAATAGACTCATCCAGATCAATGCATGGCAGAGTCTACTAAAGTTACATAGGGGTGAAAGGGTTATTATATCACTGACATGATAGGATGTTTCTGTTTTATTTTCCATGAAACCCGATCATCTTACCAATATCAAAGTGGACTGGATTATTTTGTAGGATATGTCACTGTGAATAAATTGAGGGTTTATGTCAGAGAAATAAGTTTTATGGGGTAATAACATGACATCAGATATGTACAGGATTTTATTTCACTCAGGATGAAGTAAAGCCTGGATTTCTGTACTGTTTGTGTCCTAAAAGTTGTACTTTCTTATTGACAGGTAAATGTTAATCCACAGTACAAAGAACAGGAACTGGAGTTTGCTCTTGGGAAAGTAAGTTTTATCTACTTTGTCTATGTTTAAATGTAGCAGTACTGTTGATAAGGAAGACATTCCCTACCTCACATTGCCTTGAGGTTTTGCTAGGTGGCTTGACTCAGGGGGGACAACTTACCTCAGACATTAAAATGGTGTTGAAGTAATTGTATCGATAAGTTAATAATAAATGCATTTAACTGAATCTGATTTGTATAAATGTGACTGTCTTTAATATCATGATCAGTGTTTCATAACTAAGTTAACCTCAAAGAACTATTAAAAAGCCTTACATGACTAGGTCTGTGATAATGTACATTATACTAGGAAGTTCTGTGACCTAAAGTTTGTGTAAATTTACCCTCAAATTGAAGATGTAATTTTTCATTTAAATTTTTTGTATTTATCATAATTAGATGTGTGTACATACATACCAAAGATTTTTATTGTGGTGACCACGTTCATGCTTGCCACCCTTTTGAGAAATTTCCATAGGGGAGATAATCCATGTGCTCAAAGTTAAAAACTTGTATCAAGTGTGTGTATATACCACCTAGACAAAAATAATCTTTTAAAATGATAAACTTTTAGATGTTCTGTCAAAAGAAATCATCAAATCTTAGAATATAGGAATAGTGTAGCAAATTAACTGGTTGGAGATATTAAATGTAAAGGTTAAAAATAGGGAGAGTTGGCAAGTATGCAGGTTACATATCTTGAAGTTCGGAAAAGCGTAGATCAGCAGAGATATATTCAGTATCATTACAGTATTAATGAATATTCAATGTATACATACATGTCCATATATTAATATAGTAGGAGGCAAGGTTAAGTCTATTGGTAGGACGCTGGGGCTCGTTACCGAAAGGGTTGTGGGTTCGAGTCACGGCACGGCACTGTATTGTATCTTTGAGCAAGATACTTTACTCCACTTGTTCCAGTCTACTCAGCTGTAAATGAGTACGTGCTTGGGCAGTGCTAGAATTGTTGAATGCTTGCTGTGAGCACCAAAATGGCAGCATCGGCTGTATGCTCCCCAGGGAGTTGAGAAAGATATTGGCTGGGTGCGAAGGCCCTATAACCATGGATAATAATTTGTGAATCGCTTTGAGACAACCTACGAACTAGGTTGTGATAAAGAGGTATATAAGAACCTCGAATTGTTGTTAATATTACTTTGTCATTAATTTTCCAACAGGTGGGTTGTAAAGCTATCATCATCTCGGAGAAATTCAAGGACCAGAACTATTACGATATTCTATATAATGTCGTTCCGGAGCTGAGTGGTAGTATTTCTGGGGATATAAGAAGTGACAGGTAAAGTATCTCGTGGTTGAACATGCATAAGGACAGGTGAAATAGTTCATTTAAAATGAAATGTGACAAGAAGGAAAATATTTTCCTCATTTTGAATTGAAATCAAAATGTATAAAATCAAATTGCAGGACAGTAAATAAATCAGTTGAAAATTCTGTTTTTTTCTTCATTTTGGTTACTGTCCTTAAATTCTGATGTGAATATTTTAATGAAGAAAAATACTATGCATCAAATTAAACCCAGTTAAACTGTGTTGAACATTTCCAAGAATATAGTATTTGCTAGGTTGTAGTAACCTCTAAAATATGATATGATCTGCAATATCACATGTAGGCTGCCGTCTCTGAAGATTCTGATAACAATGGGAGACAACTCATACAGGTAAGTAGGATTCTTGTGATCATCATATCTTCCCCTCATTTGTTATACTTCCTGTGAAACTGTTCGTTCTTAGCTACAACATCTGAAAGTCAAGGTAGCAGATATGGGTGAAAAGTTATATCTGGACCATAATTTTACAATGGCTCTTTATTTCATTACTGAATTTATTTACCTGCCAATGTTACGGTAAAAAGAACGGCCATATTTCAAAATTTTGTAATGATTGTTTTGAATAAAACATTTGAAGTTGAGCCTGATGGCATTTGGGGATAAAAGCTCCGCTGTATCCCTGTGGAGTTGTGATAACAATTCACGCTGTAAACCTGTGGAGTTGTTATACAGTTACATGTACAAGAGAGAGTAATGGTATGATGACATGATGTTTGAAGCTGTTATGATGTGTTTTTGGTCTCTTACAGTGGTGCATTTCAGTTCAGTGAAGTACTAGACTCGGCCACAGATGCTGGGTGTCGAGGTATAATGGACATTCAGAGGAAGTTACAGTTTGATGATCCAATCAACATCCAGTTCACATCAGTAAGTTCCCAGGGTCATAGTTAACAGTTAAAGTATGGGTATGAGGGATATAGCAAGGTTATGATCCCCCGAGGCCAGGACTATTTCCCGAGGCGAGGCCCAGGGAAATATTCTTGGACGATGGGGATTATTAACTTGCTATATCCCGAAATGCCCATACTTCAACTGTTTTATTATACCGATACAAACACTCCCTTACAATATTCTAAATATTATTTGACAACAAATTTTTCAACAGTTGGGACACTTTATCAACAAAACTACAACAATGCGAGGTGAAGGTCGGTCCAGAAAGTCCCGGCTCAGCTGGCCGGAAATTGCCGGAAATTGCCGACGTAATTCGATTGCGCTGATTGGTCAATATTCGGTCAGGCCCCGCCCACGACGTCACTCAATTTACCGCATTTTCAGAGGGAAATAGTTTCAAAACTATCCCACCCCTCCAGACGAACTATTTCCCTGGCATGCAGTTAGAGGGGAAATATAATTATAGCTTGTTTATGGGGTTACTTTTGTATAGTGTAAAATAAGTAGAGGTATAATAATTCCAGATATCTGTCAATATCATATACCTAAGGAAATGTCACAGGGCAAAGTTCTAGTTATTCATAAACTTAACTCATGCACCCCTGAAGACACATTTGAACTCTTCCAATTCAAAGGTTGGAATAGTTAATTATGAAATTTCAGGGGTGAATGAGTTAATCATGACAATCTACATATTAAAATACTATTTGCATTGCTATTGATGCAAGGGAGATAATGTCATCATTTAGGATAAATAAAGCTGTGGTTTTCCAGAGAAAAAATGGTGATTTGTGTACAATAAATATATTCTAGAATTTTTCACATTTTTATTAACAACTGTCAGTACTTTGTCATGAAGTGAAGAGAATTTTTCACATTGTTCATGAGTTGAGATAATCAATGAAAATGTTTGAAAACTATTTTAATATCTCACAAGTAATAATAGAGTCAATATTTGTGTTTTACATATTTTATCACATGATATGCTGTGTTATCCACTGAATATACCCATGTCATATTTTTTTGCATATTCACTCATGTAATATGACCTATCAGCCCTGTGATTGGTCACAGACTTACGTATACACACTGGAGTCAAAATGGCGTCTTTTACATTTTAAGGTTGCATTAAAATGATCTTTTTACATGAATAAATGCCAAAAATTTTGATGATGTAATAAAAAGGATCTTACACTCGGTTTCATTTCATATGAAAAGGAAACTCGTCACAAATTTGTTCATTTTAGCTTGCCAGAGGCTTGCTAAATTGAAACAATTCTTAAACTTGTTTCATAAATCTCCAACATTCTTTTCCTGTAAAGGACAGCATGTTTGTGTATTTCAGGGTACTACAGGAGTACCGAAGGGAGCAACTTTATCTCACCATAACATTGTAAACAACAGTCATTTCCTGGGGCGGCGCCTGGGATATCACACTGAGGTAACCTATCTGAATCTTGGCATGAAATTCTTAAAGAATTAGGGGTTTTTTCTCAATCATTTTAACCAAGAAACAAACCCCTGACTTTTTTTCATTTTTATCGACAGTACATATATAATGCAAATCTGTTGTAATCCAAAAATAGGTGAAACAATTTGCTCTCCTAGTTCCAGTGTAAAATGACCTCATATTTTATGCAAAAACATGTTATTTCTAGACATAAAAAAAAATGGAACCAACTGTTTTTTTACTGCTTTTGTATATATACTCACTGTAGCCTTTATCCTATTTGAGCTATAGTAATTATTTTGCATTTGCATGCCAGTTCAATAGACTGATATGAGTGCTAAATGATGATAACCACTAAACATAAAATCACCATATTAACCTATTCCTGCATGTTGGAGAAAGCTCACTTGCTCAATGCTGATGGTTGAAGCTTTAAAGATAATGATTTTGCTTGGAAATATGAATGTGCCAATATATTTTAAAATATATGAAAAATAAACTTGTTTTTATATAAGAATTGAAGCTGTTATCTGAAAGTGTTGGTCCAGCAATATACTTTCACAGTATTGAGTATATTGAAATGTGTAAAAAATATCTTGAAATATTTAAGGGTGTAGATGGCTATACATGTTTATCCTGATATTACAGGAGAGTATAATCTGTGTGCCCGTGCCGCTGTATCACTGCTTTGGTATGGTAATGGCTAGCTTATGTACCGTCACCCATGGAGCTAAATGTGTGTACCCCGGACCAGGGTTTGATGCTGGGGCTTCACTTAAAGCTGTAGCAGAGGAAAAGTGAGTTGTTTTTTCCTAAGCATCTTCATGTTCCTTTCCTTCTTTTCTACCCCTTTTAGCTCGCCTATTCGAAGAATAGGGGGGCTAATGTAGTCACCCCGGTGTCGGCGTCCGGGAACCTTCAGAGGTTAAAGTTTTGGTGCAAGTTTTTTCCAAACAGTGTTGGATCATCACACTCAATACACAGTTGTCTATTATGAGTTTAAGTCATTTATATCGAGTGTAAGCAATGTGCTGGACCATATTTTTATATTTTGTGGCCCAAAAACAGCTTTTTTTTTTTAATTGGACTTTAGTTAAATTTGAGGTTCAATTTTTTGGGCAAGATTTTTGTGAATTGTTGGAATATGACCATCAATAGGCTGTTGTCTGTTATAAAGTTGAAGTATTTATATGGAGTGTTAGCATTGTTCTGGGCAATAATTTCATATCTTAGGGGCCAAAAACAGCTTCATTGGACTTGATTAATGTTTTGGGGTAAGCTTGAGGTTCAAGTCTTTGGGCAAGTTTTGTTAGGTAGTGTTGGACCACCAACATCAATAGGCTGTTGTCCATTATAAGGTTGAAGTATTTGTATTGAGTGTAAGCAATGTGTTGAACCATATTTTCATATCTTAGTGTCCAAAAACAGCTTTATTGCACTTTGTTAATTTCTTAACAATCACTTCACATAGATGTTTCTGCACATTTAACAGTCCTTGAAATATCCTGGTGGTAAGTGAGGTGGCAAATAAAATGACAGGCACTATATCAACGTTTTACTATACATGTGTTTCTATTGATAGTTGCAGTATTATAATAACATACATAGGCGAGCTATGCTGTTCTCCGACAGCTCTTGTTTTAAATGCTTTCATATCATCAACAAGGACTCATCAATTGTGCAATCATGTAGGATGATGTTGAACAGTGTATTGTCATTCAGGTCTTTACTCTTTCTCAACGACAGTCCAGAATATATGGAACATGAATATGCATACACTCCCCCCTTAATTTGTCCAGTATCGAGGACAAATTTGTTGCCATGTTTTACCCTATTGTCAATTAAAAACAATGACAATTTAAACACCACCTATTTCCTTGTTGTCACATTTGGATATTAAGTTTTTCACCTTCCATTTCTTTGTTGTCCAATAAAAACTGATAATTTTAACACCATGTATTTCCTTTTGCCAAGTATTGAGGAAAAGAATTCATCATAATTATTTTTTCTCATTTTTCCATTAAAAAATAAAATTTTGAAGAAGGTTTAATAAATCATTTCTTCTGTAAACCTTGTACTGGACTTATTTTATCAGTCATTATTATTTGTACTTGTAGGTGCACATCCCTGTACGGCGTCCCCACCATGTTTATTGACATGCTGAATCACCCTGACTTTGACAAGTTTGACTTAACCTCCCTTAGCACTGGTGTCATGGCAGGGTCACCCTGTCCCGTGGAGGTGATGCGGCAGGTTAACGAAAGGATGCACATGCCCAAAGTAACCGTATGTATTTTCAAAAAACGTAAAGTTGATCTTTTTCATGAAATCAATGGAACATGAATTTATCTAGTACTATTCTTACTCCATATAGTCTGGTAAATGTTTTGAGTTGATAAAAACTTTGCAGGTTTAATTTGAATCAGGCCATTTTTAGTGTAACCATACCCATTATTACGCTATAATTTGGGTTATTCAATGTTTGTCTTGCTGTAGAGTGTTACTCATTATATCACCATAGAAGACTATCATAGACAAAAGGCTTGCTGAATATGTGAAAAAGTCTAATATCTGTTGGAGGTTCACCCTTTTACCACTGTAGACCATAATGGACTCATCCAAATCAATGCATGGAAGAGTTTACTGAAGTTACATAGGGGTGAACGAGTTAAGATATGTGAATGTATGCATTACAAAATGCCCTTAAATTTGAATAATCTCACTTTAAGCTTTTCAAACCCTCCAGAACTAGGTAAGGGCTATGTGTGTGTCTTAAACTGGAATCAGGTTGTCTGTCCGTCTGTCCGTAGACACAATCTTGTTTGGACTTCTAATTTTAAAGCTTTCATTTAAATTTCTTGAAACTTCGCTGATACAGTTACTATACTCTGATGTTTCGTACTATGACTTACTTATAGGAGTTATGCCCCTTCCACAAAATGTTAGGCAAATCTTTTATAACTCAATTACCCCTGAAATTTCATAATGAACTATTCCAACCTATGAATTGGAAGAGTTCAAATGTGTCTTCAGGGGTGAATGAGTTAAACAACCCATCCTGCAATTCTAATCTGAATTTTGTGAGACACCACATGTACAGTTATTATGAGATATATTCAACACACCCCAACTTGCCCTGACTTTACGAGTGACACAGACATGGGTACGCCCTTTATCCAGCTGTTTTTGATGTAGTTCAAGTTGTGCCACAGACTTTCGATAAATCGTTAGCAAAGTCTTCTCCATTAGAATAAACGTTAATAATATTACGTTCAGTTTCATTCATTTATAACACTTAATTAAAATAAACTTTCTTTGATTAATTAATTGAAATGAAATGTGATCTATTCTCAGGTATTTTCTGATTTCTGTATATTTAATCACAGGTGGCATACGGTACAACAGAAAACAGTCCTGTGACTTTTCAGACAATGAGAGACGACAACCTAGAGAAGCGGACATCCACAGTGGGTCGACCGCTGGACCATGTAGAGGTAGGTAGAGATAGGACACCCCCATCAAATCAATTGGACTGTCTGGGGTTAGACATTTGTTTTTGGTTTGTCATATCTGACTGACAGAATTGTCTTGGAAACATCATGTGAAAATGCAAGTATATTTCAAATGCACAATAAGCTTGGAAGAAACTGGAGGTAATAATAATAATAATTTAAGGTTCTTATATACTGCTTTATCACAACCTATTTCGTAGGTCGTCTCAAAGCGGTTTACAAATTATCATCCGTGGTTATAGGGCCTTTGCAACCAGACAATATCTCTCTCAACTCTCTGGGGAGCAAACAGAAGGTGCTGCCATTTCAGCGCTCACAGCTAGCACCCAACTTTTCTATCACTGCCCAACCATATACTCATTTACAGCTGTGTAGACTGGAATGAGCAGAGTTAAGTATCTTGCTCAAAGATACAACACAGTGCTGTGCTGTGACTCGAACCTGCAACCCTTAGGTCAAGTGCCCGGCAACCTACCACTAGACTACCGTGTCTCCTAATGACACACTGTACCATGAGTGTGTACAATTATCAGGAGTTGCTGGCATTTTATAATAAAAATCAAAAGTCAACCAATAACAGTATGAGCTGTACAATTATCAATGGTGCTAGGTACTCTAATACTGATTGCTTACACTATTTTACAAATGATTTATTGATTGGTGACATACATCATAGCATTCGAAATACATGTAAAATATGAGCGATGAAACAAAGCTGCAGTTATGGAGTAACTATATAAATACTGCACTTGAACAACTCCTCTACCTTTTATAGGCCAAGGTGGTGGACGAGGATGGACACATGGTCCCTATAGGAACGAGAGGGGAGCTGTGTATCCGTGGAATTAACACTATGCTGGAGTACTGGGACGAACCGGAGAAAACTGCTGAGGTCATCAGTACCAGTCGGTGGTACTCTACAGGGTATGACATGTAATAGTATTTTATAGCAAAACATTGGGTGGGTACTCCAGGGTGTGGGTTGGTACTGCATTGGTACCCCTGGGTAAGGGCTAGCTGTTACTCCAGGGTGTGTGATATTGGGTTGGTACTCCTGGGTATAGGCTAGCTGATACTCCAGGGTGTGTGGTGGTATTGGGTTGGTATTCCTGGGTATAGGCTAGCTGATACTCCAGGGTGTGCGGTGGTATTGGGTTGGTATTCCTGGGTATAGGCTAGCTGGTACTCCAGGGTGTGTGGTATTGGGTTGGTACTCCTGGGTATAGGCTAGCTTGTACTCCAGGGTGTGTGGTGGTATTGGGTTGGTATTCCAGGGTATTGGCTAGCTGGTACTCCAGGGTGTGTGGTGGTATTGGGTTGGTACTCCTGTGTATAGGCTAGCTGATACTCCAGGGTGTGTGGTGGTATTGGGTTGGTACTCCTGGGTATAGGCTAGCTGATACTCCAGGGTGTGTGGTGGTATTGGGTTGGTATTCCTGGGTATAGGCTAGCTGATACTCCAGGGTGTGTGGTGGTATTGGGTTGGTATTCCTGGGTATAGGCTAGCTGGTACTCCAGGGTGTGTGGTATTGGGTTGGTACTCCTGGGTATAGGCTAGCTTGTACTCCAGGGTGTGTGGTGGTATTGGGTTGGTATTCCAGGGTATTGGCTAGCTGGTACTCCAGGGTGTGTGGTGGTATTGGGTTGGTACTCCTGTGTATAGGCTAGCTGATACTCCAGGGTGTGTGGTGGTATTGGGTTGGTACTCCTGGGTATGGGCTAGCTGATACTCCAGGGTGTGTGGTGGTATTGGGTTGGTACTCCTGGGTATAGGCTAGCTGGTACTCCAGGGTGTGTGGTGGTATGGGGTTGGTACTCCTGGGTATGGGCTAGCTGGTACCCCAGGGTGTTTGATGGAATTGGGTTGTTACCCCTGGGTATGGGCTAGCTGGTACTCCAGGGTGTTTGATGGTATTGGGTTATTACCCCTGGGTATGGGCTAGCTGGTACTCCAGCGTGTTTGCTGGTATTGGGTTGTTACCCCTGGGTATGGGCTAGCTGGTACTCCAGGGTGTGTGGTGGTATCGGGTTGTTACTCCTGGGTACGGGCTAGCTGGTACTCCAGGGTGTTTGATGGTATTGGGGTGTTACTCCTGGGTATGGGCTAGCTGATACTCCAGGGTGTGTGGTGGTATCGGGTTGTTACTCCTGGGTATGGGCTAGCTGGTACTCCAGGGTGTTTGATGGTATTGGGTTGTTACTCCTGGGTAAGGGCTAGCTGATACTCCAGGGTGTGTGGTGGTATTGGGTTGGTACTCCTGGATATGGGCTATCTGGTACTCCAGGTTGTGTGTTGGTATTGGGATGGTACTACTGGGTATAGGCTAGCTGGTACTCCAGGGTGTTTGGTGGTATGGGGTTGGTACTCCTGAGTATGGGCTAGCTGGTACTCGAGGGTGTGTGGTGGTATTGGGTTGGTATTCCTGGATATGGGCTATCTGGTACTCCAGGTTGTGTGTTGGTATACGGATAGTACTCCTGGGTATGGGCTAGCTGGTACTCCAGGGTGTGGTGGTATTGGGTTGGTTCTCTATGGCCTGGGTTGGTAATACTTCCTAAAGTTTTTACTTTTATTGCATAACACTTATTGATTTTCCTTAGGCTCAAAGTCAACCTGGTTTGTTGCACATATTCAGTAAGCTTCATCTGTAACACCTATCGACTACTAATTCTCTGTAGAACAAACCTATATTGTGACACAGGACCAGTAGCTTCGAGACCTGGTCGAACATTGCTGTGACAAATCCTCAATGGTAGTCACCCAGCAAAAATCATATCCCTAAAATTCCACCATTATTTTAGGATTCAACTGGCAGCCATCCTCATGAAAGGGTGAAGGTAGTAGCTCCTACCACTGAACAAGCCTGCATGATTTAGATGGTTCTTTATTTTGTGGATTATCTGTCAAATATGTTTAAAAAAATGAAACAACTTCTTTTAAATAACCAAGAAGCCTAGGGTGATGATATTTGGCTAGTAACATGCCGGGATGAAGGGCTACCAAGTTTGTTCAAATAAATGAACTTGAATCATACTCAAGATCACTGGGGTCAAATATGTTAAAAACATTTTAACAACTTCTTCTGAATAACCAAGAGGCCTAGGGTGATGATATTTGGCCAATGACATGCTGGGATGAAGGGCTACCAAGTTTGTTCAAATAAATGACCTTGATTTATATTCAAGGTCACAGGGGTCAAATATGTTTAAAACCTTTAAACAACTTCTTGTGAATAATCAAGAGGCCTAGGGTGATGATAGTTGGCCAGTAATTATACCATGCTGAAATGAAAGGCTACCAAGTTTGTTCAAATAAATGAACTTGACTTATATTCAAGGTCACAGAGGTCTAATATGTTTAAAACCTTTAAACAACTTCTTGTGAAAAACCAAGAGGCTTAGGATAATGATATTTGGCCAGTAGCATGCTGGGATGAAGGGCTACCAAGGTTGTTCAAATAAATGACCTTGACTTATATTCAAGGTCACAGAGGTCAAATATGTTTAAAACCTTTAAACAACTTCTTGTGAATAATTAAGAGGCCTAGGGTGATGATAGTTGGCCAGTAATTATACCATGCTGAAATGAAGGGCTACCAAGTTTGTTCAAATAAATGACCGTGACTTATATTCAAGGTCACAGGGGTCAAATATGTTTAAAACCTTTAAATGACTTCTTCTGAATAACCAAGAGGACTAGTGTGATGATATTTGGCCAGTAGCATGCTGGGATGAAGGGCTACCAAGTTTGTTCAAATAAATGACCTTGACTTATATTCAAGGTCACAGGGGTCAAATATGTTTAAAAAAAATAAAACAACTTCTTTTAAATAACCGAGAGGCCTAGTGTGATGATATTTGGCCAGTAACATGCTGGGATGAAGGGCTACCAAGTTTGTTCAAATAAATGACCTTGACTTATATTCAAGGTCACAGGGGTCAAATATGTTTTAAAAATTGAAACAACTTCTTTTAAATAACCAAGAGGCCTAGGGTGATGATATTTGGCTAGTAACATGCCGGGATGAAGGGCTACCAAGTTTGTTCAAATAAATGAACTTGAATTTTATTCAAGGTCACAGGGATCAAATATGTTTAAAACCTTTGAATGACTTCTTCTGAATAACCAAAAGGCCTAGGGTGATGATATTTGGCTAGAAGCATGCTGGGATAAAGGGCTACCAAGAATGACCTTCATCCATTTTCAAGGTCACAGGGGTCAAATATGTTAAAATCTTTAAACATCTTCTTCAGAATAACCAAGAGGCATGGGGTAATGATATTTGGCCAGTAACATGCTGGAATGAAGAGCTACTTAGTTTGTTCAAATGAATGACCTTCGCCCATATTCAAGGTCACAGTGGTCAATATGTGTTTAAATCTATAAATGATTTGTTCTGTATAACCAAAAGGTCCAGGGTAATGATATTTTGCTAGAAGCATGCTGGGTTGGAAGACTATAAACTCTGTTCACCCTCATGTCCTTGTTTGTTATTCAAGGTCACAGGCGTCATATGTTTAAATATTTCAATAGGTTCTTATGAATCAAACACTGATATTCTGCCTGTAGTTGTATTTTAGTCCACTTTTAAGATTACAAGTGTGAGATTAATACCAGGAAAGCGATTCAGGCCCATTGGGCCTCTTGTTTTCGTGAGTGATCATCTTTAGGATAACTTAAATCCATCTAGGTCCTCCTTAATTGTTTAGTCCTTTGATATTGTCTTTGGAATTGCTTGAACATAAATAATGTATTCTTGATCAGTTACAAGATTTGAACAGTCTTACCCAAATTTTATCAATCAGTAAACCAAATACTTATGTTAAAGATACGAAAATTGTTGTTTTGTTTTCAGGGATACTGCAGTCATTGATGAGGATGGATTTTGTAAAATTGTGGGACGAATTAAAGACCTAATCATCAGAGGTGGAGAAAATGTATATCCCCTGGAGATAGAGGAAGTGCTGTACAAACATCCAAAGGTCAAGGATGTACAGGTAAATGTCACACATGTAAGGGACTCAAAATTACAATATGAAGGTCAAGGTTGTACAGGTAAATTACAACCTAAAGGTCAAGGTTATACAGGTAAATGTCCAACATGTAAGGGACTTAAAATTACAATATGAAGGTCAAGGTCGTACAGGTAAATTAAAACCTAAAGGTCAAGGTTATACAGGTAAATGTCACACATGTAAGGGACTCAAATTACGATATGAAGGTGAAGGTCGTACAGGTAAATTAAAACCTAAAGGTCAAGGTTATACAGGTAAATGTCACACATGTAAGGTACTCAAATAACAATATGAAGGTCACGGTCGTACAGGTAAATTAAAACCTAAAGGTCAAGGTTATACAGGTAAATGTCACACATGTAAGGGACTCAAAATTACAATATGAAGGTGAAGGTCCTACAGGTAAATTAAAACGTAAAGGTCAAGGTTATGCAGGTAAATGTCACATGTAAGTGACTCAAAATTACAATGCGAAGGTCAAGGTTGTACAGGTAAATTACAACCTAAAGGTTACAACATAAAAAGTTAAAAAGCATTTAATTAACTCATAAACCTTTTATTTGTGTAACATACAGTAATGTGTATACACTTAAACAATTGTAAAATCAGAGCAATATAATGTGGCTGCTTGCCATTTTATTTTGTGTTTGACCTAATTTTTGGTGGCTATAAGATGAACCTGGTCTTTAAAAGTGCAGTTTCATGATTAAGGCCAACCAGGTAAGTCAAAATTCTGGACAACACACAGGTCCTGTACAAACATCCCAAGGTCAAGGCCAATATAAGCCATAACTCAGGATCAGAGTAAAGTCCTTCACATCCATCCAAAAGTCAAGGCCATATAGATGAATCAGGACCACAATCATGTCAGTGTACAGAATTTCAAAGGTCAGTAAGTATTAAATATATAACTCAGGGATACAGACATCTCCTATACAGACATCCAAAGGTCAGGGTTATACAGGCAAGTAATCACTCAGGACCAAAATCAAGTCAATGTAAAAGGTCAAGAATGTACAGGTAAACTAAACGACTGCACAGACGGTGACCTATAGTGAGGTTTTATTTCAGGGCATTACCTTTATTAACCGGATAAAAAGGTTGAAACAATTTGAGAGTCACTTCAGAATTATCATTTATACATTCTGACATTTTAGGTTGTAGGAGTACCAGACAAACGCCTTGGGGAGGAGATCTGTGCCTGGATCCAGGTCAAGGAAGGTCAGACGCTCACAGAACAACAGGTGAAGGACCTCTGTAAGGACAAGGTCAGTGCTTTCTTATGCTGCAATTCATCTTTCAATCAAGAAATGTAGATCAATTCATCTTTCAATCAAGAAATGTAGATCACTTCTATTTCACAAGCTGCAGATTTATGTTATTTCCAGATGATAGGCAATCAGGAATTATTTAAGTACAATAATGTATCCCGGGAAAGTTGTATTTAAGTTACTTTGCAAATGAAATCAATCAGAATGAACTACAACTGTAGTTAATTATTTCAATTTACAACTGATAACTTTGAAAAAAATAAGTTGAAAATGAATTTTCAAAAAATGACTGTTTTATACTTTTATGTAGCTTGCCCGATACAAGGTTCCCAGGTACGTCAGCTTTGTGGATGGCTACCCACTGACAGTTACAGGCAAAGTACAGAAATACAAGATCCGAGAGGCTGCTACCAAGGATTTAGGACTGGAAAACGTCTTCTCTTAACTGACATTGTGAGGCAAGAACATGGCTTCTCTTAACTGACATTGTGGGTCTAGAACATAGCTTCTCTTAACTGACATTGTGAGGCTAGAACTTAGTTTCTCTTAACTGACATTGTGAGGCTAGAACTTAGTTTCTCTTAACTGACATTGTGAGGCTAGAACAAAGCTTCTCTTAACTGACATTGTGAGGCTAGAACTTAGTTTCTCTTAACTGACATTGTGAGGCTAGAACTTAGTTTCTCTTACCTGAACTTAGTTTCTCTTACCTGACATTGTGGGGCTAGAACTTAGCTTCTCTTAATTGACATTGTGGGGCTAGAACATAGCTTCTCTGAACTGACATTGTGAGGCTAGAACTTAGTTTCTCTTAACTGACATTGTGAGGCTAGGACATAGCTTCTCTTAACTGACATTGTGGGGCTAGCACTTAGCTTCTCTTAACTGACATTGTGGGGCTAGAACTTAGCTTCTCTTACCTGACATTGTGTGGCTAGAACATAGCTTCTCTGAACTGACATTGTGGGGCTAGAACTTAGCTTCTCTTACCTGACATTGTGGGGCTAGAACATAGCTACTCTTAACTGACATTGTGGGGCTAGAACATAGCTTCTCTTAACTGCAATTGTGGGGCTAGAACTTAGCTTCTCTTAACTGACATTGTGGGGCTAGAACTTAGCTTTTCTTAACTGACATTGTGGGGCTAGCACTTAGCTTCTCTTACCTGACATTGTGGGGCTAGAACATAGCTTCTCTGAACTGACATTGTGGGGCTAGAACTTAGCTTCTCTTACCTGACAATGTGGGACTGGAACACGGCTTCTCTTAACTGACATTGTGGGGCTAGAACTTAGTTTCTCTTAACTGACATTGTGAGGCTAGGACATAGCTTCTCTTAACTGACATTGTGGTGCTAGAACTTAGCTTCTCTTAACTGACATTGTGGGGCTAGAACTTAGCTTCTCTTAGCTGACATTGTGGAGCTAGAACTTAGCTTCTCTTAACTGACATTGTGGGGCTAGGATCGGAACACAGTTTTTTCTCATAGACACTTTCGGGCAAGGTGCAACAGGTTCCAGAAATCAGCTTTCACAGTGTTGTGTTCGGACTGGGACATGGTTTCTCCTGTTGAACGTGAATGGCAGGGGAAATCAAGAAGCGGGAGGCAGGCTACCTACAGATAGCTACAGCTGTGACATGTATCCTCTTAATGAGGTTGTGGGGCTGGAACCTGTCTTCTATCTCAATGAACCACAGAGGTTATAACCACAAAGGGCATTATCATTGTCCTGGATTGTCCTGACTTCTACACTGGTTGATGATAGCTACCAAGGACTTAACCAGGAACACATCGAAACATTTCCACCGGTAACCAGGAACACATCGGGACATTTCCACCGGTAACCAGGAACACATCGGGACATTTCCACCGGTAACCAGGAACACATCGGGACATTTCCACCGGTAACCAGGAACACATCGGGACATTTCCACCGGTAACCAGGAACACATCGGGACATTTCCACCGGTAACCAGGAACACATCGGGACATTTCCACCGGTAACCAGGAACACATCGGGACATTTCCACCGGTAACCAGGAACACATCGGGACATTTCCACCGGTAACCAGGAACACATCGGGACATTTCCATCGGTAACCAGGAACACATCGGGACATTTCCACCGGTAACTTTACTCATATTTGGTTGTTTGTTGCAGTCACAAAATCTTTGTGTTCATGTTTTTAAATGTTATTTTTGAGATGTATTTTTATAGGTTTATTCAATGTGCATGCAGTTTTGTAAATTGTATGTTATACAAGTATTTCTAAGCAGTCTTTTAAACCAGTATGTGATTAAGCAATAAAAGAAATATTTGATACTAGATTTTTCCTTGTTTTCATTTAAATATTATTATACAAATTTTAAACTTTCTGTTATATAAATATACTTAATGTATCAGTACACGTATATGCATACAAATATTCATTTGAAAATAATAGTGTCGGTATTACTCTGATTCATGAATTAATTTTCTGAAGAAATTGATATGACAGACTCTACACATCCGTGTTCAATGCTACATTTTATTATTACCAGTTGTTATTTTTACAATTTGTTTTATAATTCCTTATCCACTAGCCCAATGCACTGGAGTTATAGTCTGAATATGAATTTGAACCCCCCTGGGGCTATCTTTAAAAAAAAGCTTGTGTACAGCTTCCTTTAACCCACTTATTTATTGGGCAGGTAGCTAGGTAGGGATTTCTGTTCTATTTTCAAAAATCTCATATTTCTTCATAAAATCAAGTTTCAGCAAGATTTTTTTTTTCCCCCCAAAAGATGCAATAAAATGTCTGAGTAGGTGTAGTATTTAGTAAGTCAGTTGGGAAACTGCAAACAAGCAATATTTTAAGGATAGCCATTTTCATTTGCTTACCCAAATACTTTTTCATTGGGATATGTGATTTACATTAATTATGGTGTTCAATTATAGGTTGTATAGGTAAAGTGGTACATGGGCTCTTACGGTAAGACACAGTCACAAATGATTTAAAATAAATATAGCAGGAAGGTTCTTTTATATGTATACTTAATGAATTAATAATTAATATCTGCAGGTATACTTTGGACATACAATTTTATGCGAAAAATATGTTGTTATGTGTTTAAATTTTACAGTGCATGCTTGGTGATTTTAAAACATATTGTTATTGTTCTTGTGTCGCCTGCAACGCGAGGCGACATATAGGTATTACTTTGTCGGTTGCGTCGTCCGAAACAAGGTTTCCATGCGATAACTTGGGTTCCCTCGGGTTGCATTTGATTGAACTCAAACTTCAGTTCCCTTGGGTCGATTGATCACATATTGCATACCAATATAGCTCGGACAAGTTCGCATTTCAGAAGTTTACATGAAGTTTTGGTGGAGTGATGCCCCTTTTATTGCCAAATAAGGGCATTGTGTAGTAAATGCAAGAACTTTTTTAATTTTTAATCAATTCGTTTCAAATTGTCTACGGTAATGCCAGAAGCAATAATGTTCAACATATATTACAGGTTGTCGAGTTCACTAAAAGCGCTGAGCAGGCGACACATCCACGTCTGTGGAATTCTTGTTTGTAAAATAGTTACCTCAATGTGAACACTTTACAGGAATCTGTGATAACAGACACTGTTATAGACTCATTGTAAGCTGTTCTGTTTTTGAGTACTGGAAACCAGAATTGTGTGGCATACTCTAAATGAATGATGATAACTTTTTTTACACTATATAAGTATGTGCCTTTCTTAGTGTAAATACATGTTTTACAAAGTATATCTTCTCACTGAAGGATTTTTCTTTATGCTTATGGTGCTACAGGATGTACTGTTGTCAGCTAAAATATGAATATGCTAATAATAAATATAATAATGAATATGTATGGTACCATATTTGCTGCATATAACACCAAGGGCACATGCTAAATTGACTGATGGGGTGTTCATTCAAATAACAAGATATAGGTACTGACAGTTAACCCTTTCACCACTGTAGACCATAATGAACTCGTCCAGATCAATGCATGGGAGGGTCTACTAAAGTTGCATAGGGGTGAAAGGGTTAAGGTGACATTACTGTCTTACACATTGATTCTATGCAATGACAACAGAAATTTCTTACTTCATGCATTTGATGTTATTTCATGAAGTAGCTATATCAACTACATGTTGTACCTTCTGTGGACATAATTTAAAAATGTATAAAGACTTTTTAACTCATTCACCCCTGAAGACACATTTTAGCTCTTCCAATTCAACAATTGGAATAGTTTATTATGAAATTTCAGGGGTGAATGAGTTGAAGTTTATATTGAAAAAAAAATGTTCATGCAAAAAAACTGATGACCCGAGGAGTACTCTTTCAGCAAAGATGGTGGAGAAACCAACAACCAGAGAATTCTAATACTCTCTAAATGAAATAAATAATACAAAAACCAGAGTCAAAAACTTTAAAGGGATCAAGTTTTATGCTAAGTTTCAGTATTTTTTTGAAATTCTTGCTTACATGGTCAAAGCCAAGGTCATTTCATGATTTAAAGAAAAACGTAAACCAGGTCAACAGTACAATCTTAGTTCTAGGGAAAATGTTGTACAAAAATCAAATCAGAGGGTATCTTAGAGGAGTTCATTATCACTGTTACCGTTATTGAAAGTTTTTGTCACTGTTGCAGTGACTTTTAATTCCTACCTGATTTTAATCAAACTTCATTTAGCAGTTATAAAGAACGACATATATCAATATTCAACTGAATTCATATCATTATAAAACTAAGATGTTCATATTTTAAGGTTCAAGTCATAGTTACTATTTATCAAAAATGTTAAAAAATGAAATTACAGTCAAGCCTGCTGATGTAACCCCTTTAGTTAAGAAAACACCTGAGTTACGAGAAAACTTTCAATGTTCCCAATTTTAACAATTTCTTAAGGAACTTAGCCTGTATTAAGAGATCAATTTTAGTCTTCCCATGAGTGATCTCATAATACAGGTTTGACTTTTCGAAAAGGCAGCATGGGGCATTCATGTCTCATAATATACAGACAATATGTAGTTTTAAAATTTATAACAGTTAATTTATTATAATCACTTTCAGGATGAAACCATGACAAATAAGTTAATATAAACATTTCACTGATGTTGTCATTTATGCATATGATTTATTATCTTTTGCTACAGAAATTAAATATGGAATTTGATAATCTTCATATTGTTCATTTTATGTATGTGTGGCAGATTTTAATTACACATAGGATTACGGTCGCCTTCTAGCTTCAAATTTCCCTTTAACTCAGTGGTAGAGCATCCGACTAGGAACCTGGAGATTGAGGGTTCGATCCCCAGTGGAAGCACACTATTCTCTTTCCTGTTACATGTTTAGCTCATTTAATCCATATTCAAGGTCACAAGGTCAAATTTGTTAAAACACTTGGGTGTTAAGAGAGGCCTACAGTCATGATATATTGTCATTGGCTTGCTAGCATGGTGGGCTACAATATTTGAGACAGAAAAACCACTTTGACCGATATTCGAGGTCACATTAGGGTCATATTCGTTAAAAACACTCAACAACTTCTTCTGAAGAACCAAAAGACCTGCAGTTCTGATATATGGCCAGAGGACCTTGCTGATATGGAGTGCTACAAAGTTTACCAAGACACAATTGAAATCCGAATCCTATATTGTTAATAAGAGTATTTTGCACTGATTACACAGTTGAGCAATACAGGCCCTATGGACCTCTTCTTATTTTATTTTTGTTCCTTAAATGTATCAACAAAACAAAGATATCATCTACAACTTCAAAATGGAATCGGTAGACAATATTTTCAGAAATTTGTGGAAACCCATCCGCCATCACCTGCACCCGGGCTAGTGGTCATCCCACAGGTATGTATGACGGGTGCTCCGCCGCTTACTGACTGTACCTGTACACCTAGCCACTGGTTTGTTTATTTACATTGTAATGTTATCCTCTGATGTCCTCTTCAGATGTCTTCTCCATATCACCTGTGTTGACCGTAGCCAATGTCTAGTACGAACATGTCAAGATATTTGTGACCTAAAACTCCTTGCTCCTGCACCTGTTTCAACACTCCATGACCTTTCCCTTTGTCCAGTCAGTACATTTAGTAACGTAATGGTGGAATTTTTAATTTGGAAATGCATCTTCTCAAATTCTTAAAATTTTGTCATATTTAAGAAAACAAAGGAAATAATACTGTATACTGGGGTATTTTTGCTACTGTTTAACTTTCGCCTTTTTGGCTCTTCCCCAATGAGGGCATATTTATCAGGACAGTAAATATAGTACACAACATACAATATATAGTATAGTTACAGGTTGTACTTGTGAACGGCGAAATTAACACTTCAGGTGAATATGTTTTTTATCGGCTTATGGGAATATTTAACTGGGTTTCCCAGTACAGTAGATTTCACTTAATATCACTTCTCATTTGTCAGATGAAACATGATATTAACCAGAGCATGACATTAAAAGAAAATGTGTTTTATTTCTGCCCATTTATCAGATGTCAAAACGCGGAAGTGATCATTTACAGAGAAGATCGTTTAATAAAAATATTTTATAACATTTTCTTTATTAACAGTGAAATTGAAATATTCCAGCTAAAACACTTGCTAAATTCTGGTAGTGCTCTACGATCATACGTGATAAAATTGTGAATTGGCCAAGATCGACATGTAGTTGTCGTCGGCTGTACATGTGTAAGTCTTCATTCTGCTCCGAATTTAGTCGTAAAGAATGTCATGTTGGTACAAATTTACCGTAATCTTTTAAATGCTTTGATTTTAGAAACATCTTTGTAAATTAGATACTTCAATCATGCACTCCAAGTTTGAAGTTTGCATCGTTTTCTGCTAGTGCACAGTAGCATTCCTAAAATAAGCTTGAGTACGTAACACTTGTAAGATGGAGTAGCTGTAATAAAAAGTTAAACTTTGGGAAGTCCTTAACCCGTAGCAGTACAATACTTCAATAATTTGCAAGTGTCAGTTCAAGTTACGAAATCACAAAAAATATAATAAAATATAGTTTTGAAGATAAGATATCCAAAATTTAATAATAACAGTTTACCAAGAAGAAAGTGTTTAGTTATAAGAGATGTACATATAAATGAAAACTTTAATCATAGTAATTCTGTGGGGAAAAAAATCTTGAATATTGTCATGGTAACATGTCACTCCTGTGTAAACAGTGAGTAATTAAGTCTTTCAAAAACTCAATTATTTATATAAAATGGCAAACTTTTGTCCTCATTTTGTTTTCAACTAATTTATTGTGCAGGGGAAGTCAGTTTCAATAGCTAACAACTTTGTTATAACAGGACAGAGGACAAAATATTTTGCAGTGAAGAGTACAAAGCTTACAGTATCAAACCGGCAAGCTCATCGTCGGATACCCACGGTTGATTTCGCTTCGGTATACTCACTCATTAGCGAAATCAACCGTGGGTATCCGATGATGCGGCAAGCTATACCGCTATCAATTTGTTCCTGTATCCAATTTAACCCTTTCACCCCTATGAAACTTTAGTAGACTCTACCATGCATTGATCCAGATGAGTCTATTATGGTCTACAGTGGTGAAACGGTTAACACCTACAAATGTTTAGCCTGTACAATGTACTTTGATGAGCATTTACCCAAAGTATATCATAATTATGTAATGTTTGAGAAAATGGAACCACCGGTCAACATCCATCAGTAGTTTGTGTTTTTCAAATTTGTTTGCAAACGATTAATTTTGTCACTAAAGATTATATACTTTTTAATATTTGAAAGTAATTTTTGGCATATTCTTTTGAAATATTTTTTTGTCATTTGAAGTAAATATTTCATTTGGGATATTTTCCCATGAGATAAATAGTAATTCAAAGATGGCCTGATATTAAGACACTTTCTAGACATATCACTGCCCGATATCTGAAATACATCATTTTTTTTTTCAACTTACATAATTTCATGTGATATATACCTTGTGATAAATTATAACCTGATCTACTTACAGCTTTTGATTTGTAAGTGTTCTCTCGTTGACTTAGTGTGACATATCAGTGTGTTTATGCAACACAGGTAGATATTGGGTTTGATTAGCTGAGGTGGTCAGTGCGAGGGGGATGTCACAATACCTATATCTACATATATACCCATTGATGATTATCTGTGGCAAAGTTTATCTCCGACTCCTGCGAGATACGGGATGCACTGGTACTATCAAGATTCAGACTGAAGTTCAAGTTTGGACGCGGCAGTGTAGGCTTGTCTAATAAGTCTGTCCTGCTGTATATCTCTAAATATTTGTATACAGTACCCTGGTCATGCATGAGGGGTAAACCTGTACAATGAATCTCCTCTCTCTGTCCGTATTCTTACTCTTTTCTTGCGGTAAGTGAATTTGTTTTTATCTTTTTCAGTATTTTTTTAGATTTTTAATCAAATTGGAATTGAATTACAGCTGGCAATTTTTAAATATTATCAACTCAGAGGGGAAGTCCTCTTATTGTTGACTACAGGATTTTCATTGGTATTACGGAATCATCAGTAAGGTATTTGGACTTTTCGTTAAAGTGATATACAAAAGATTTGAAATAGGAGGCACAGTAGTCTAGTGGTAGGACGCCGGGCTCGTGACCGAAGGGTTGCATCAGAATCATATTTTCACAATGGATGTAATTTCCTATTGTTTTAAATGGTAATTAATGTCAAAAATTCTTTTAATTCATTTTGAAATATGCTGACATTTGTCATACTGTTGCTTCCAATTATAATATTTTCAAGTTGACTGTAAATGTGAAAAAAATTGGGAGGATTCCTAAGACATGTCAGTATTGTAAAATAATACTGTTGTACATTTAATATGCATCAGTGTCTTTACTGTACGGAGACCATGCCTGTTTAACTAAGACACGTTATCCAGCTGCAAAATGCGTGAGAATGGAAATGCTAGAATTAGATTTTCAATAAATTTGAGAAATTTACACCAGGTAAAAAGTAACTAGATTTGCAGTTTTTACCTGAACATTTTAACATAAAACATTAAAGATACAGCTCCAGTTGCTGTTGTTTTGGAATGTTTTAATCAATTTTGAATAGTAAAAATCTATGTCAATAAAATATGCATTTGAATTTTCCTGTTGGAAAAGTAGTCAATAATAATAAGTAACTTTTTTACTTATCAATTATCTTCAGGTTGGTAGGTCACAGTCAATAAGAGTTTGTTTGTGATGGTATAATGACTAGAATGACATGGACCCTGTCACCGTCATCAGACAAATGACCAGTGAAGAGTAGGTACACAAATGTGTGAAATATGTACAAAGTTGCCAAATTGAATATAAAATTGACATTGATTAAGATATGCTATTAGCATACATACGCTGAGTTGTTGTACAGTACATGTACAAAATGATGAATCAAACCAACAATTTGATCCAGTCAACGGCATGATTTTTCTGTATGGCGAGGTTCATGATTGCAGATTTTTTATCTTGGTCTCAACTGCTTTCTTTTTGATCAGTTGAATTTGTTTTTCTCTTGAGTATTGGACAGATCTAGAGATAGCAATCAGTTCAAGCTGCAGTTAAAGGAGGCCATCTGAATACAAAGCAGTCAAGGCCAGTTCTGAATCGAGATGAGGGGGTTCATTGACTCTTGCACATCTATGACCAGATATTAAACAAGGTTTAGCCAAATCAATTGTCATTATGATTCATCATTTTCTACATGTATAACAACTAGGGGTACATATGCTTATAGCATATCAATATCGATGCCGATTTTATATTTCCAACTCTTACATAGTTTAAATCTATGTGTACATAGGCTTCAATGGCAATTTATCTGATAAAGGTGACAGGGTACATATCTAACTAGTCATCGAAACATCACACATAAACACTTAACGGCTGGGGTACATAAACCTTTATAGAATAAGTATCCTTTTCATTGACTTTGATGTAGAAAAGTCTTCGGGCATGTTCATTTATGCGCACCAACTTGTTTGTCTATTTTTAGATAGGTGATTATATAGGGATAAAGCCTGACGGACATGCAAATGTTAATTCAGGCCTTGAAAATCTTTACTGTGGTTCACCAGAAAGCAACATCAAATTACCAATTCCATCTCTATTTCATAAACATACAAGTCAACTGATTCAAAGATTTGAAATCGATAAATAAAACACAGCCTTAAAAGCTTGTTTTGAATTAATTGGGTACGTTTCACCAATGAGTAGTAAAATAACCAATTACAGCAATAGTACAAATTAAATTTGCACTACAAAACCCTGCTTAAATCAAACTTATCAGGTCAAGGGAAACACTAGTTTATCTACTGGTATTTATTTGTTCACTGTTAGGTAACTTTGCTCCATGCTGTTATATAGTGATAAGAATGTTGCATGTCAGGCTTGCCTTGCATGTATCCTTTCACAATTTTATTACATAAGTTCATACATATATATATATATTTAGTAACATTTTTTTATACTGAAGTTGTGCATGAAATGTTTCAGCCCTCTGAAGAAAATATGGAATAATTATAATAAATAATGTTAAATAATAATAACAATATACAGCATTTGATCTAGTGCCCTATAATCAAACTAACATAAGCCACTCTAAAGCACTTTACAGTACATAGATATACAATTATTACAATTAGCATATACATTAATCAATACAATTTGAGGAATTCGCAGGAGCTGCCTTATCAGGCGCTAACTACTAGTCCTATGCCACTTGGCTAATATCTCACTATGTGTGTATGCCTGCGTGTGTGCTGGAGATGTAATGTGTAACAGTTTTGATTATTTTTGGTTTTGCGGTATTCTACACATAGCCCACAGATGGTAACAACTCGATAATTCAGTGTTGTAAAATAACCAGGACAACCCACATATCTGATTGGCTAACCATTGTTCTAAATATAGTACATCAATCGATCAACACATTGATGGGCAGAGATTCCGTAAGACACATACATAGAACTTAATTTATTTACAAAAAATATGAAACAGACTATTTCAACTTAATTACTCTTGTTCGGGCCCTGATGTAAGGGATGGGTGCGGGAGTCTTTATGTTGGAGGACACCAAAGTACCAAGAGAAAACCCATGTTCCATTACAGACTCGGGTGGGTCAAATGTTAAACTGCCAAAAACTGTAATAGGAAATAAAATAGTGCGCTTCCACCAGGGATTGACCCCCAGTTTCCCAGTATGCTGGATCAAGCTAACGGGAAATTCCATCTAGCACGAAACTAGAAGGTGCCGAAAATTCTGCCACATGACTTCCACCTTCTTAAATGTGTTAGTCATCGAACACCACGACAACCCAGGTTCCAACTCCATGTTGCCACAGGGAGGACAATAACAAGAAAGTAAATAGTGCAAATTAATACACCAGGAATCCAACCCGCGACCCCTAGCTTCCCAGGCCAGTCTGCTACTCTCAACCAATAGTTTAACGTGAAGCTAGAAGGCGATCGTAATCCTATGTACAATTAAAATCTACCTAAAAACATTGATTTATTAAACTTTTCCCAGTATCAGCATAATTGTCTGGGAAATCGGTCATTAACCTGCTGAAAAGGCATTTGATAGTGTTTCTGATTTGATTAAACATATTGTAATATCTAGGCCACACATTAGTCAACCGTCTTGTAATATATTGTATTATCTAGGCCACACATTAGTCAACCGTCTTGTAATATATTGTATTATCTAGGCCACACATTAGTCAACCGTCTTGTAATATATTGTATTATCTAGGCCACACATTAGTCAACCGTCTTGTAATATATTGTATTATCTAGGCCACACATTAGTCAACCGTCTTGTAATATATTGTATTATCTAGGCCACACATTAGTCAACCGTCTTGTAATATATTGTATTATCTAGGCCACACATTAGTCAACCGTCTTGTAATATATTGTATTATCTAGGCCACACATTAGTCAACCGTCTTGTAATATATTGTATTATCTAGGCCACACATTAGTCAACCGTCTTGTAATATATTGTATTATCTAGGCCACACATTAGTCAACCGTCTTGTAATATATTGTATTATCTAGGCCACACATTAGTCAACCGTCTTGTAATATATTGTATTATCTAGGCCACACATTAGTCAACCGTCTTGTAATATATTGTATTATCTAGGCCACACATTAGTCAACCGTCTTGTAATATATTGTATTATCTAGGCCACACATTAGTCAACCGTCTTGTAATATATTGTATTATCTAGGCCACACATTAGTCAACCGTCTTGTAATATATTGTATTATCTAGGCCACACATTAGTCAACCGTCTTGTAATATATTGTATTATCTAGGCCACACATTAGTCAACCGTCTTGTAATATATTGTATTATCTAGGCCACACATTAGTCAACCGTCTTGTAATATATTGTATTATCTAGGCCACACATTAGTCAACCGTCTTGTAATATATTGTATTATCTAGGCCACACATTAGTCAACCGTCTTGTAATATATTGTATTATCTAGGCCACACATTAGTCAACCGTCTTGTAATATATTGTATTATCTAGGCCACACATTAGTCAACCGTCTTGTAATATATTGTATTATCTAGGCCACACATTAGTCAACCGTCTTGTAATATATTGTATTATCTAGGCCACACATTAGTCAACCGTCTTGTAATATATTGTATTATCTAGGCCACACATTAGTCAACCGTCTTGTAATATATTGTATTATCTAGGCCACACATTAGTCAACCGTCTTGTAATATATTGTATTATCTAGGCCACACATTAGTCAACCGTCTTGTAATATATTGTATTATCTAGGCCACACATTAGTCAACCGTCTTGTAATATATTGTATTATCTAGGCCACACATTAGTCAACCGTCTTGTAATATATTGTATTATCTAGGCCACACATTAGTCAACCGTCTTGTAATATATTGTATTATCTAGGCCACACATTAGTCAACCGTCTTGTAATATATTGTATTATCTAGGCCACACATTAGTCAACCGTCTTGTAATATATTGTATTATCTAGGCCACACATTAGTCAACCGTCTTGTAATATATTGTATTATCTAGGCCACACATTAGTCAACCGTCTTGTAATATATTGTATTATCTAGGCCACACATTAGTCAACCGTCTTGTAATATATTGTATTATCTAGGCCACACATTAGTCAACCGTCTTGTAATATATTGTATTATCTAGGCCACACATTAGTCAACCGTCTTGTAATATATTGTATTATCTAGGCCACACATTAGTCAACCGTCTTGTAATATATTGTATTATCTAGGCCACACATTAGTCAACCGTCTTGTAATATATTGTATTATCTAGGCCACACATTAGTCAACCGTCTTGTAATA